TCCCCCCCCCCCCCCCCCAAAACAGAAAGCCAGACCAATGGCTTTGGCGGCACACCCGCGGTGAGTCACTTGCTGCCATTGGCTACTCCATCTTCCTAAAGACTGATTGATCATCACAAATTGTGCCCACCCAGGACACAACCTTTCCCATTGTGGACACTAATCTGGACCTGGCCAACCTCAAGCAGCGCAAAGCAGGCTTGTCTGTGTAGCGCTCTTCCAGCTTGCTTCTCTGTCTGCGCCACTGTGCTGTCTGCACACAAAGCACCGTGTGCCACATCGGCTCCACTCATCTTCCCAAATTGTCAAGGCGCACTCGTCAAGCTTGATGAAGGCTCGGATGACCCGTTTGCTTTTCCTTGTGCTGCAACCTTGGGAGAATGCGGCTGCCATCATACTTTGCCACATTGCCAACGACCAGACACAATCATCATTTCGCAGTCTTGTTGATGTGTGGCACTCGGAAAATGGAACACCAGCTCTGCCTCAGCAAGGATATGTGCCACAGCGAACGATGATCGATATCACTCGAAGCAATTTTGTGGTCCTGTGACTGAATGCTGAGCACAAGGAGCCGGAGACAAGCCAAAGAGAAAGATGCATACAGGTAACACACGACAAACTCAGCAGGCAGACGCATTTCTGGATGGAGCGACAGGAGCTTCCGCGTTGGGCATCTAGATCAAACTGGCAGCTCTACGTTTGGCCTAGAAAGCGAAGCGATTCGCACACTCGCCTGGTCCGCCTACAGCTCGATGAAGCTGTCGTTTCCCAACAGCTCCAGACGTCCTCATAGCCACCGACGCCTCATCGAAGCTCACACCGAAGGAAACCCAAAATTTGTACAGCGCAGATCGGCAGGGCGCAACGCTGTGCCCATTTGATCACTGTCGACGCTGATAGCTCCTCTCGTCTCGTCGTGCCCCCAAACAAGCCACCGAGCGTCCACATCCACTCCCCTCCCAGGTCGCAAAGGAGCGCAGCGCAGTGCAGCGCTTCATCCATATACAAAACAAGCGCAGCCAGCCATTTCCAAGCGGCGGCCCGTGATGCGATGTTCGCCGACGCACAAGCGCACCTATCACGTCCACATCCAACTTTCAAGCACAAAGCATTTCGATTGGGTGCGCGAGCATTTGCTATTCGAGCGCGAGGCACGTTCGGCGGTCGCTCGAGGCATGATGAAGGCGGGCAGGGTGGATGACGTGCATGGTCGTATGGTGCAGAAATGTTGCGAATGTCTGATACACATCGAGAGGTGAATGTACAAGGATGTCGATGGATACGTCGAAAGGTGAATGTACAAGAATGTCGCTGAGGTTGGTGGCCGGTGAATGTACAGAAAGTACGGTAATCGATACGTGACGAGTCGCGGTTCGGATGACGCCGGACCGTATTCATTTGACGATGGAATCGATGAGCGACACAAAGGCGAGATCGTGTCGATATCGAAGTCGTGGTCTTGCCTGCGGTGGACGCCGGACGAGTCGAGTGGTATCAAAAATCTTCGGTGTAGTTGGCCGGGAAACTGTGAGGTGGTGACGGAGCTCGAAAATCAGCTGACCCATCGACCTCCCTCGCCAGCATCACGTCCACTTCAGGCGTGCCGGCTTGACCGTCCCGAGCAAAGGTTCTGCCTTCCAGTACCGACCGCACCATGCATCGCACTTTGCAACCTTACCCATCCCACCTCGCACCTCACACATGCTCCCAGCAATTCACCAACTACACCGTGCCGCCTCCCCCGCCCCATCCCCACCGTCCTTTTGCCATTTTGCCACCCCGCGCACCATCCAGCCCAAACTCACCTTCCAACCACGCCGCTCCGTCCTTGCACTCCCGCACTAGCATGCTCCAATCTTCCCAACCACCAATCCTGCCTATCCATCGTAGCCCTAATCACCCGGATCACATCTCCGATCTTGAAGGACAAATCCTGCGCTTCTTGTCCTTCGAAATCGTACAGCGCCACCACCCTTCTTTGTTGCGTTGGGGACGTCGCGGTGGTGGTGGTTGTCGAATCGCTGTTCGCTTGAGAGCTGGAAGGAAATGCACCGCTTGCAAAGTTGCTCCTGGCACCAGAAAGAGGAAAAGTGTCGACAGTGTTTGCAGAGACGGGCAGGTTCGTCTGGGGAGAAAAGGGCGGCGTGGTATTCTCCTCTTCAAACCTGATCAGATCCGTCGAGTCCCGTCTGCTCGCACTCTTCTTTTCCTCAAAGTATCCCGCCCCAGTCGTCGCAGGTGGGACAATGGTAGCCTGACTGTTTCCTCTGATCCTGTTCCACAAGCGAGAGGCGGAGGAGCTGCTCCGATGCCTCATATCTGGTCTTTTTGGTTTCTCCCCATGCCCGTGTCCATACCCATTGCTGCTGCCGTTTGAAGAGCCGTTGAATTTGTGTTGCTCATCAGGACTCGACAGACCGTAATCGTCTCGCCAACCTTGAGCGCCGGCTCTTGCTCCGCTGGGCGAATCCAAAGCTTCCCCACCGCCCGATCTGGGAAAGACGAATCCTGCACCGCTGGCGGCTGCGGAGGCGCTACTGCTAGAAGAGGACTTGTTGGATCGATTGCCATCCCTATCGAGCGCGTAAGGACCCGACGGGCTGGCGAGATTTCTAGACGACGAAGGCGAAGAAGCAAAGAACGGGTCGGCATTGAGGGAAGGGGATGGATTGTGCGTCGCCACATTGTTCCACTTGGAGCCTTGCGAGGTGGTAGCGACGCTCTGACTCTGCGTAGGTCGGTGGGTCGAATAAGTAGCGCTGGACCGTTGCTGCTCTTCATCCGCGCTCTCGCTCGACGTGCTGTTCCTGAACTGTTGTTTGAACCCAAGACTACCGCCGCCTGCTCCCCGCGTATGCGCAGCTCTGTTGGAGATGTGGTAAGTTGCATGTCCAGCTTGTCCAGTGCCCGTGCCCATGCCGTACGAATCGCTGCCGCTCTGCGCATCCAAGAGGCTCGTCTCGCCCTTGAAATTCGTGCGAATCCCGACGTTGGAAGAAAAGGCGTTTTTGGGACTGGTGGAGAACCTGCTACTGCCACCGCTGCTGGAAGCTGGTCGGTAGGCAGAGGAGGGAGATGTTCTTGCAGCGGCAAATTCGGACGCGTAGTTGCTGGCCGTGCCTGATGCTCCGCCCGAAAAGCTGGCTGCGCCATTGGACGTTCCGAAAGCGTATTCTCGAGAGGTGTTGGAGTTGTGCGATGAAGAGCGTCCAAAGGATCCCAAGCGCTTGGCAAGGCCCGGTTTGGAGTGCGATGGAGCGTAGGCGGTGGCAGAGTAGGTATAATGGCCGGCATCCAGATCCCTCATTCCCCTTTCCAGCGCTTTCTGTCGCGCAGTGTCCACATCGACGGCGCTC